GGCTCCCTGGCAGTGTTGAAGGCCAGGTTGGATGGGGCTTTGGGCAACCTGGTCTCGTGGAGGGTGTCCCTGCCCATGGCAGGGGGGTTGGAACTAGATCGGCTTTAAAATCCGTTCTAACTCAAACCATTCTCTGATTCTATGAACTTAATTCCTTCAAGAATGATTTTGGATCCTAGGATAATACTGTTTTGATGGCCCTGGGATTGTACTGATGTGTCAGTGATATCCCTCTGGGTAACGGTGCGTTCCTCAAATGCAGATAACCTGACTCACCTAGTTATTTCACTGCACTCAGCAAATGTCTTATGGTATGTGTTTTGCTGTGTCTTGATTATACAGAAACACTTGGTCCAGTTTAAATAGGTCAGAAGTGAGACTATATCACATATTAAGTTCTGTTTCATGTTGTAGCACAGGCCATTGTCTTCTTCCTGCTATACTCCGACAATTAGAGGTTAGGAGAGCTGCCCTTTAATGGCTTCATTAGTTGCCATGCTTGGAGCATGAAGTCCTTCGCTAGGGCTCATTAAGAGGTGAAGAGAGATAGCGTGCCAAAAGCCTGGGATACAGAGGATCTGTGATGGCAGACCCTGGAGAAAAGGGGTTAGGATGAGTGGTTCCTTAATTGTCTTTCTTGTCCTAAGCATTACCTTGGACTTTTTAGCTGAACTGTGTTATAAAGGACCTTTTTGTATTTGATTTTGCAACAGTACTAAGATGCAAAAGGGAAGGGATTTAATTCTTCCATGGGGAAATCAAAATGCCCCTTTTGCTGCTCAGTACAGGTTACCTCTGGACTTACCTCTGCACGTTTCTCTAGAAGACTTTTTTTATAGTTGGGAATCAACCAAAAAAGAAGTGCAGACTGAGGGAAAGGGGATCCTAAGAAACTGTCCCTGGCATGAAAGAGTGAAGCATGTTTAAGAAGCATTTTTGCAGAGTGAAAAATCTGAGGTAGTATGGCAGCAGCCATATCTGAAGATATACCGGCAGTGGGCACACACATAAAGCAAAAAAAAGAGCCCAATATCATTACTTCTTCCTACAACACAGTGCATAATAGAATTCACAAGAAATTGAATTTCACAGCTTCCCTATGAAGACACAGGCTAAGAGGAATGAAAAAATATAATATAAACAGGAAACAGAAATCTCTGCAATATTATCTTGTGAAAAACTAAGGGTGTTATCCAGCAATCTGTGCTCCTCTAAGATTCCCGCTAAAGGCAGGTGGAATCTGCCTACTTAGCTGAAAGACTGAGTCTAAGGTTCAGAGATAGTCTAGTCTTACTTTCTATGACAATCTACAGACTTTCACCTAGCTGTTTCCATAATGACTGATACCTTCGAAATGAATACAGCCTACAGCACTTCAGATAGGTATAAGTCTTGACGTCAAGGTGTTAGGAGCTAGAAAACCTGCCGTGTCTCCTAATTATTTATTCTGTATTTCCAGACGATTACGCTGTTCTCAGGGTCTGCTTCTCAACATGCTTTAGGAAAGGGGCTGTCCAATGTAGACACAGTCCTATAGATTTCACTGGCACTGAACACAGTCCTAACTGCTTTGCTGAGCTGAGGTTGATTTATGCAAGTACTTAAGTCTTTCACTTAATAATTCTTTTGTTCTGTTTGGTCCTGTTTTATAAGACAATAAAATTCTGGCCCTTTCAATGCCTTCTACAGAACTTCCACCCCACCGGGTTGGGCAGTGCATTGTTACGTGTATTAACATGCTTGCTCACTCTATTTTAATCATGCAAGAAGAGTATCACACATACTGTGAGTAACTCTGTCTTTCAAATCAAGTCATCAACTCAGTGGAAAGGTCTGGGTTAGACATGGAAGTTTACAAATCACCTTAGCTTAGATTTTAGCTGTGAGGCACAATAACCTGAATGTTACAAGCAGCTCGGTGAGGAAAAAGGTCTTGGAATGATGCTCAAGTTTGTCTCAAATAACCTCACGCTGCCAAAGAAAGTTTGCACTAGATGGATTTGTAAAAGCAGCGTAAGGAAAGCTTATAAATCATCTGTACCTGACCCTGCACGTTAACAAAGGGAAAGTGAATTCTGTTTGTGTGTAGAAATGAACATTTTTCCAAATCCATCCCTGCAATCCCCAAACCTCTGTATAAACTCAGAATAATGACTCAATTATGAACTATGCTACAAAAATCACTAGAAATACACTGTTACCTTTCCCCTTACAGTGGTCTTACAACTGAACTCAGAGAGTATGGTACTGAAGATGTCAGTATGGGGAAATGAAAAACCTGACACCAAATTTACCCTCCTATCAATGCAGGATAGCTTCCCTCCCTACATCTGCAAAAGTTTTGATCAAGCTAGTTTTAGCTCCAGGTGAATAGGACTCCTCTTTTGCTTATTCTTCAACCCAGCCAATTTTACTTTATGACAAGCTTCCTAACATCTAACCGAAATGCCAATTGTCGAAAAGGTTTTTATGTCCCTTGTATCAGTTTATTCAGTTTGCCCAATCCTTGGAGGTTACTCTCTTAGAATACTTGCAAGCAGTTAACTTGATTTTCTTTACACATGATAGTAATTCCTCAGGGAAAACGTTGTTTACGTAATTTTTCTACTATATCCATTCTCCTAATAGTGGGGTTTTTGTCGCTTTGCTGAAAATTCATTTCATTTCATTGCCTAGACTGAGCTGCCCTGGATTTTTGGCCTAGTTCCACCCCAGCTGTGCAAGGTAAAGAAGCTGTTATTGCTGTGGTCTCTTGTTTGTTAGCACAATATACAGCACAAAAGCCAAAAGACTAATGTTCCACAGGTTCTGACTATTTAATGTACTATGGCATTTCTATAGCATCTAAAAGCTAACTGTATTTGAAAGAAAAGAAAAAGCTCCTGAATAGTTTTGCTTTGGCCTTGATTTCAGATACCTGATGCAGATTTTGAGCAAGATGCCCATTCAGCTGAGGAATGAAGGAAGGTCACAGTCCCAGACCTTTACACAAAACTGCCCATAAAATTTGGTCTTCTTGGTAGGTGCTTGTACCATTAAATACTTCCACTCAGTTAATTTATTTGTCACTTGATAGAGGACAGTGCTTACAGTCTTTTAATATGAACCTCATGTGACACTCATCTTCCTTTAGCTGAGCCGAGAAAAGCACAGCCTTTAAATTCAGAATAGAAATGAGATCTGAAGGATTGCCACCTCTTCCTTCTTGTTTACAGCTGCCTAAAGAATATTTAGTCATCTCCTAAAAATCAACACAGACCCTTTGGTGGCTACTGGGATTCATCAAGAACTAACACCAGAACAAGCAGTTATATGTAGACCATCAGTTACGTTCATCGCAATATAATGAACAATAGCAAGCCTAGGTGGCTTTAATGGGGTTATTTATTATATTACTCTATGCTCAGCAATGGAAGCAGAATTATTTATGTAGTTGAGCTATGGCATTTCTGCTTCCAGTCATGCCCTACACGTGCTTTACTGGAACACAACTGTAGCACTCTCTTTTGCAGATCTAAGTGTGAATATTTTACAAAGTTTAAATAAAATAAAAACCAACAGTAAGTCACCGCTGATGTTACCGATTGAGCAATCGTGTCCAGTCCAGTTGGGATCGCAGCTGCAGAGGCCGGTATCTGGGAGGAAGGTCCCGTGACCAGAGCATTGGTCCAGGCAAGTAGCTCTTGGAGTCTCACAATTTGTTCCTCCCCAGCCAACTGAACAGTGACATTCTCCTCGCACGCACACGCCTCGCCCCGAGCAGGTAGGATCCATGCAGTCCACTACACGTGAGAAGGAAAAGGAAGCAGACAGGGAAACCAAATGGGAATTTCAGGAAAAAAAAAAGCAAAAAAGAAAAAGCTATCAGATTGCCATCTACACAAACTTATTTATATAGTATGTCAAGGCTCCAACCAGAAAGCAAAGCACAAAACAGATGCTTCATGCAAGAAGATAGTGTCCCAAAAAGGCAGTGAGACATAAAACACTTACATGAAAACCAGAGAAAAATTTAATTATTAAATCCATCCTTTTATGCAGGCCTACACTCATAAATGATCTTTGTAGTAAGAACAGGCTAATATCAATTAAGAATAGAATAAGAATAATATTCTCTTGCACACACATTGTGCCTCCATTTATTCTGTCAGAATAGCCTAAATTACTATTACTAATGAATTCAAAGCTGAGCTCTAGTTTTCTGAGAGAGAATTTTACATAAAGATTCAGCAGAAGTTGACGTCCTTATTCAGCAAAATACATGCTTAAATTGAAGAATGTGCTGAAATCTACACAGGTTTCACAGACACTTACATAAATTTCACGTTAAACATATCCTTAGACTGTTTTGAAGCGTAAGGTTCAAACCAAAATCATATATTTTTGGATATTGGTGCTCTTCTGGTTTTATTTTTAATCAATTAATTTGATCATTCTTTTTTAAAATGACTTTCCCCTCCCCCCCGCCCCCCAACAGAGGCGCTTTCCTAACAAGATTGAAGACCATTCAGTTAGGCGCACGGTATAGCAATGTGCACCAAAAGACCGAATGTACTGCTGCCTTATTCCTGAGTTATGTGTTTTGTAGGCAACTGTCAGCTCTTCTGCCCACGGGGGAATTTCACCCAGCAATCAAAAAATATGAAACACACCAGACACCCTCTCAAAAAAGGACTGGAGGAGTTGATCATCTATTTATATATAAAAGCATATAGGACAGCCTAGAGAAATTCTTCCCATCTCTTGAAACGGTGTGTGGCAGTGCCCTGGGGATCAGTGACAAGTGTCAGTCTGGCGAAGCAGCAAGAGAAAAGCTGTCCAGCTCCTGGCTCTGATACAGAAGAGCAGAACACGGCCACCGCACACACAGCAGGTTTGCGGTTCGTTTCTTTTCCCCCCTGTAAAAGCTAATAAGAATCCCAATGACCTGTTTAAGATCCAGAAACCTTAAAAGGAAACACAACAGCTGCTCTGATAATTCCCTGGATTCTTAAAACCTTCTCAGTCTGACAAGTAATGGCTCAGCAATTACTATCCCAAGGCATGTGAGAGCATTTTCTGTTTTGTTTGATTCCTGAAGCCCTGCTCATAGCTGGAACAATCCTCGAAAATTGTAAGAGGCTGGAAAGGATGAGTCTATAAATCTCCTTCACTGTTAGCGAGCTGGGAGCTAGGGTGCCAATTTTAGCATGAGACCCTTGGAGCCCTGGCCCTGTTCTTTCTCAGCAGTAATAAGTACGAAAAGGACTAAGAAACGGACTAGCAGCCTCGTACGTTCTCAGCAGATGGTTTGAACGTAGAGAACAAAGATCACAGGCTAACTGACAAGAGGCTACCTCCAGGCAATTAATCATCCCCTCTGAAGGTCAATTGGGAAAAAGGTGAGTTTTACAGGGGGCTCCATCACAGGAGGCAGACAATCTGCTATCTCAGCTCCAACACAGACGATTATAGGAGGGGAATGTGCATGTCAGAACCCCCCATTTATCATAATCCCAAGGCCATTTTTCATGTTGAAATGAGCCCTTTCAGAAAATGTCACACACAATGGCTACTTTAATCTCAGCCTCGCTAGCTGTATCTCTTTAGGCTTTCTGCACCATCGGAAGGGCCCTGGGACAGGATTACGGGCTTCTGCTTTCTTCTTAATCAATTGCTTAGTGGATTTGGAGTACAATGGTATATTTTTAGGGAGTTCTGCTTGACAAATTTAGCTGCTCAGCTCTGGGAACAGCAGAGATGGGGAGCGGGGCAGGAGGGCAGAGCTGACAAAACCTAGTATACTTGAAAAAAAGAGGAGAAAAAAAAAAAAAAAGATTTCACATGTATCTGTTTTGCTGCTTGAAAACTGTCCCAAGTGGTCTAATTCCTGGTTGGAAAATGCCCCATTTATAGTTCAGCCTTGTGCAGAACTTTTGCCAGGGAGATAAATCATGCAGCAAGCAAGGCTAGTGCCTCTTCTACACTTTTCCCCAATATGCTTCATGCTTCATTGGTCACACAAGTTATTAGGCTTATTCGGTACCCAAAGAGTAACTTCTCATTTTTCACTGCTTAAATTTGCTCCCCTCCCTTTAATGTCTCGCTGGCTTAGCCCATGCCTTATAAAATATGGGCCAATAAACTGAGGAAGGAGAAAAGAAAACCTCATGTAAGATTGTTGGCTGATGTTTTATAAACATTGCTGAACTTCTATGAGGGAAAAAGAAAAGACAGAAGAAACTCTGGAATGAAAACCCATTATAAACATGGACTAAGCAGTGAAGCTATGAGAACTGAGAAATAATAGAAAGTAATCAATACCAGATGGTCCTTCTTAGAAGAGAAATTAAAAAGTAAAAGCAATTTAAAAAATAGTATAAATCAACTTTTTTACTAGATCTAAATATATATATATATATCCCCCAAAGATTTCCCACATGGCGCATTTCTGAGTTACTTCCTCCCACCCCAACACAATACAAATTAAGCCTTGAATATGAAAAACAAATGCACACTTGGAGAAATAGCCCATAAGAAAAATGATGTTCTCTTTGTTCTTCATTCTTTTTCATGTTTTTACCTAGTGGGACTGACACTGTCCCCTGTTACAGTGATAACATAAAATAACTGAGTAGTGTCTGGCTTTTCTGCTTTCAATGTGACCAGGGAAAAAAGGTTCCTGCTAGAAAAAGGGCAAATCTTACTCTGATTTACACACAATAAACACATCTGGCTGGAGGCAAAATCAGAATCTTTTCATTTCTGTTTAATCCAGTGAGGATATGATCTAGTAAATATGAGGTCTACGGAGATGCTTTAAAGCTACTTCAGTAGTTACCATCTTTGGGTTTTGCATGCCCCACAGCTTCATTGAATTGCGCTTTCTTAAGCCAAAACGAAGCTTTCTCAAGAGATGCCTTATTGTTATAGAGCTGATACTGTCTTCATCTCTAACATTTACTGACGCTGAAGCCATGTTACATCAGAGATGTCCCACTCCAATACATTTAACGCATCAAAAGAATTGCTAGATGAGATGCCATTTGAATGTCTGAATCCAATTCAGCCTATTTATGTTGTCCATAAAATAAAGACATTTCAGATAAATCTTTATCCCACATACATGAAGACAACCGTAAATTAATACAAGCCCTTGTGATTCTTATACGTGTATCAAACGGATGTCTTAAGTCTATCAGGTGGTGCAGAGGCCTTATATATGCATTTGTGGAAGCAGAATTTAAACCTAATTATTTTCCAGACCATCTGCATAGGATTTTGAGAATAATTTTCAAAAGTGCTGAACATTATTCTGTAAATGAGGCACTTTGGATGTCTTTTTATAACTGTCCAAATGATTTGCACACTTACGAAACTGTCCACTTTTTCATTTAGCAATAAAAAGCAGTCACGGACTTGGGAAGATAAAGGTTTATGGTGGCAGGTGACTTCCTACACAAAAAGATTAAAGATAAGTGCTAGAAGACATCGTATTTCTGAGCCTCAAATCTAAATGTAGATGAAAAATGTTTGGGGCTAATGTGAGGAAAAAGCTATGGAAGAGCCATTAAAATCATATCTGATTTTGAAGCAGAATTTAATTTGAATCCTGAGCATTTCTAAGCTTTTAAAGCTGACAAGAATCAGGGACTTTCTCTCACACGCCACCATTTTGTGTATGTAAGCAACTGAAATCACTTGGCATAGCACAGAAGAGAAGAAAGCACTGTAAAAGTAATTATACGTTTAGATGTGCAAATGGAAATGATGCTTTAATAAGAACATTTGAACATATGATTAGATGTTCTGGTCTTTCAACTAGATTTGTCTATCTGAAGCATTTGATGGCTTTTCATCCAATTATTGAACAAATATGATAGCTAATGACAAGTTATTTTTATGTTGCATCCATCTATTGTATCTGTAAGGTGCCTATTACTGTTCTGTTTAAGTGCCAGTCCTATTCTGAATTGCCTCCATCCATGTAATTATGTAACGACAATCAAAGCAAAAGGCTAATTGAATGTATCTTGCAAATACCTTCTTCACAGCTCTCGCCTTTGTATCCTGGGTTGCAGATACAGGTCCCCATGATGCACGTGCCATGGTTATTGCAGGAGACGTCAATGCACTGATTCGTCGGGACGTCACATTCTGCTCCCTTCCAGCCGCTGTGGCACAAGCATCTCCCCTTCATGTACTGCCCGTTTCCACTGCACAGCACGGGGCAGGACGCTGGGGAAAGATAACAGAAATCACATTAAAATGCAACTGTACACGGCTCTCACTTCAAAACAGAGCACAAGAGTCCAGCACGGGTTTTATATTCTTCATACACGGTTCTTTTCTTTGCCAAAAACAATTTTACGTGGATGACACCCAGCTGTTGACTGTATTCTCCTACAACTATTTAAAACAAACAAACAGTGCTCTTGAGTTAGAGTATCTCCTTGCTTTGTGCCTCTGATACTTTTTTTCACTAACTAAACTCAGAATCTTATTGCATTCTGCCTTTTCAATGTACTGGTGTCTTCTTTCAGCAGCACCGCTGACCTTAGATTGTTTATCACAATCCCTGACCCGCTGCCAGACTTCATACTTTCCTTGACATTGCCTCTGCTGTGGGCCTTCGCTGTACACAAATCACTGTTTTTCCGTTGTAATTCTCAGCTTTATGGGTTTCAGTTGCTTTGCTCAGAGTCCAGAATGCCATGCTGAAACTATTTCCCTGATTTAGCTCATGTCATACCATCAACTGAATTTCCAGCCCCTGTTTTGTGGTTATCACCTCTGCTGGACTTCATTCGTCGTCAGACACAAAGCCAAACTGGCCACTGGTCTTTCCAAGCTCCCTGTAAAAGTTCTCTAAATCTATCCTCTGATCTTCATATTGGTTTAAAAAGGATTTTTTAATTGTCCTTGTTTCTGGCAAAGTCCTCTGATTCTCAAGGCCAACCAGCTACAGATTTCTTCCCTGTGATAAAGGGGAGAAGAGGAAGATGACAAGATCAAGCTGTGGCATGATGGAACCCAGGATTAAGTGTTTTCTCAGCTAAATTTGGAAAATGTCAGGCAGAGGGGGATGGGATGAACTGAAGGATACAGAGCAGGCTCCCCAAGGAAGGAGAGGGCATCAAGCACCAGACCCCAGCCCCCATAACCAAAGCTTTGTAATCGCTGTTCGCTGGAGCTTCCTTCTGCTCCTCTCTGATGATGCCTTCTCTCTTTTCCATTCTCCACACCTGGCACCTTATGCTCATTTTATCCTCTGTTCTGATTTTTCCAAAGAAGCTGCTGATTTCTGTCCCTCAGAAACAATACCCTTCCCCTGTTCACCATCCCTTGAAATTTCTTCTTGCTTAAGCCCTGTTCTCTTCCATTTCATTTCGCTGAAACTCAGCTGCAAGTACATATATTCAACGCAGACTTCTCTCATTCACTGTTGCACATCATCCTTAGGTGAGAGCAGTTGGGCTTCTCATCTGCCCCTCAGAAAGGCAATTTATGAACATTTTTACGGAGGGCAAATGGAAAAGGGATATTCCAGTCTGCTGCTTAATGCAACTGCATTAGGTGTGCGATGAATACAGTGTGCCTCTTTTGCTTCCCTTCCTGACTCTGAGTATTAACATGGTTAAGGGCAACATTTCTCTCCTTCTCTTCCTACCTTCTCAGACAGTAATCGCACGGTCCCCATCCTGCGTTGCTTCCCTGTGTCCTTACAGGCAAGTCTGAGCGTTACGGAATTATAGCAACCTCTGTAAAATACAAAGCTTTGCCAGCTCTGACTGTTAAGCCAATTTGATATGCAGTGAACTATGTTTGCCTGACCAAGATAAACGAGGTTTAGAAAAGAAAGGAATTTCACAACTGTTATTTACTAAGGAGCCCTCTGTTCACTGTAAAGGAAGCACATTGCAGTGGTGCGTTTCAAGTGCATCATTTGCAAGGAGATATCTACCTATACAATACGAGACATAAATTGTTTAAGATACACTTTGTTGTGTACATGGTTCACAGCAAACTCCCTCTGTAATTTCACTTTTCAGCTAGGCTGATGGAATTTTCCGCCCCTCTGTCTCAAATTTCAAATGCTCAGTAATGGACCCTGTTCTTTCAAGGCACTGGAAGAGGACAGTCTGCAGCTCTTTTTACCAGAGGAAAGAATAATTGCCTTTAACCAGTGAGAGGTTGCTGAGGAAGACTTACATGTTTTCTGACAAGACAGCTGATCACTCAGTACAAGATCAGCTAAATGACTGGCCATGTGCAATAAGGCTGGCACTCTACAGAGCCCTCTACGGAGAACACCTCCAGCATAACCTGCAAAGTGCTGCTGCAAATGTTGAGGTGATGGCAGGAACAAGACCTCCTTTGTAGCATACCAGAATGAATAAAGACAAAAGAGGTTTCAGGATTTTTTTCACTGCTACTTGGGTAACTCTTTTCCATGTATAAAGATATATAATTATTATTTCATCATTCAGATTCCAACAAATAATATCTAAGATGCCAAAATTATAGTAGATCTCTAGTATGGTTATGGTAGCAACAACCCAAATTGCTCATGACTTTTCTTGTAAAGTTTAGCATCAGAGAGTAAGATCATTCATTTGTTTGTTGACTTTATACAGGACTTTAAAACACCATCTCCCATGTTCAAGTAGGCCTTCAAAAGGCCTGTGAATACACCTCTGGTGATTTGTTCTCATTTACTTGGTTTAAAATAATTGGTTAATAATACATTAATAATTAACCATTATTAAAACCAGAAAGGCTTTCTGCTCCACAGTTTCCCACTCATTTGCATGGTGAATTACAAGGTTGAATTGAAACAAAGGAACACCCAGGAAATCTATGACCTAGAAATCTTCACGTGGGCAAAGACCTGCATCATTACGGATTACTTCTCAGTACAGGGACCGATGTACGGCTGCAGACACATACTGTAGCAGCCTTACACATGCCGCAGTTGCTGCCCTCTGAGGGATTTGTAGGTCAAAAGCAGCATCTTAGATTCACCTGAAAACCAACGGGAAGCCAACACTGGGCCCCTCGTATCTCACGCTCATGGCACGATGATCCATTTAACAAGCCCACTGGGTGGAAATGCATACATAAATAGAATTTTGTTACTTCAGGTATTAATCTGTTCTCCTAAAGGCAGAGACTAATCCGTGATCTGAACCCAGATGATTCTGAACCAAAAGACAGACTTGAGTAACACTCTCAGTCATATGCTCTGATTCGGCTGGTCCTGTGTGGAGCCAGGAGTTGGACTCGATGATCTTTATGGGTCCCTTACAACTCAGGATGTTCTATGATTCTATGATTCTATGAATAAAAGGTGTTCATATCAGACAGAGTAAGCACCCTAGTGAAATGGGAAACACTCACATGGCTCAACTGAAGTGCCTGAGAAAGCTAGGTCTGTAACCCATGAAGGGAGGTAAGCTCCTCTGAAAGTGGAATCAGAACAAAAGTTTAAATATTCTGACTCGCAGTGAAGGAGCTTCTCCTTCTCCACTGACTCTGCAGGGAGCCTTGGGGGGAACAAAGCCTGAACTCCTGCTCCTACCAAAAGTTAGGAGGTGCGAGTAGGAATACGCTGTGGGAGAGGGAAGAAACCTCTCCTTTTGTCTCTAGCTCTACGGGTTTGAAAAGGAGCTTGGAAATGCAAACCAAGTGTAAGGAAATGCAAACCAAGTGTAACCTGAGTCAGCAAGAAGTTTGACTGAACGGCTCTCAGGGATGCAGAATGCCACATCCATCTTACTTGGGCTGTGAACTCTGAAACACCTCTGGGGTTTTAGCCTGGACCACACTGCCTCAGCAGAGAGCTCCCTGCCTGCGGGGTGTGCGGCCATCCTTATCTCTTGGCTGGGCTACAGTGATGTGACCAAGCTCAGCGGGAGGGGAGAGCACGTGGGGTTGGACGGAGTTTAGCTCTCTCTCTTGGGAAGGAGCCAGCCAGCTTTCCAAAGAAGCAACGGGCTGAGGTGAAGGCCTGAGCCGTTGCCTTAGCAAAGCTCCTTGTGTGGGCACTAACTTTTTACACTACCTCCCTCCCCAAATTTATAAATCTGCACTTAGTTTGTTGGACTCTTTGAGCCAAAAAAGGCCTTGAAAAGGTTGATGCACGGCATTCTGACATTTCCCACATGCAACGATTTGATTTCTCAGTCCGAAATGCGTTCTTACTAAAAGAAGTACTTCATTTGGTTTTTAAATGTTTAAATAACCTGAAAATTTCAGGTCAAATGAAAATCCTTCCAAAACCATTTATTAAAAATACTTTTCACTTGAGCAGAAAAATGTATTATATTGTTTGCTGGGGTAAACCTCCTTCCTAATCGTCCCAGAGTTCTCACTTTTGGCCAAAGTATTCAGTTCTTCCCGCCATTACTCCACTCCCAGCCTTACTCTAACCCTGCCCCGCTCCCCACAGCCAGGCTGTCAGTGACTGCTCATACCTCAGGCAGACTCGCAAGGCCTGCAGCAATGACAAAAGTACATTTTCTTTATAATCAGTATCTTAAAGGAAAGTATCATTACAGGGTTGCACCACACAATGATAGAGCGCTCCGCTAAACAAACAATAATCCCGCATTTTCAAGTTGTGTTTTCTAAAGTCGTTCCCAGAGAGAAAATCCCCAAGGCGACATTTTGCCTGTCCGTACATGGCTGGGGCCTTGTGTTGTTGCTAAGGCCACAGCAATCGTGACTAGCAGCAAACAGATCCACAGATCCAACTCATTTCCATTCCACCTCAGCATCGCCACGCTGGGTGAGGTGTACTTTGCGAAAAGCACAGGCATGAATATAATTTCCACATGAAAAATGTTAACCCAAGGAAAGAGGGGAAGAATTAACCAAGTATAAATTCCTACCTCTGCCACAGTCAGGGCCCAGAAAGCCGAGGAAGCAATGGCAAGTCCCAGACACGCAGTCTCCGTTCCCATAGCAATTACTGGGACAATTATCCACTGATTCTGGAAAACAAAAGAGAATTATCATTCTTTAGGCAGGAAAAACACCTCTGAGTTTGGGAGGGCTCTGGATGGCAGGACAGCTGGAACCTCAAAGCAATCGGGACTGGAAGCATTAGTCTGAGCTGCACTAAACAGTGCTCATCCGTTTACACCAATGGACGGCTCCACCGTAACACACCAGTGCGGAGCGACTGCAAACCCTACGATTAAATTGCAGCTGCTCAGCACCCACTTGGCTTTGTCCTCACATGGTACCTGAAAACTTCCAAAACTCTTTTCTTCCTGCTTATTTTTCTGACCATTTTCCTGCTTTGAATTTATTGGAGAGAAGCAATACATGCCGTTCTCATGGCAGAACATGTGTCTTTGGTCCAGTTTTGTCGACCCGGGTAAGTGACCTTGGGGCATTTATTGGTGCCAAACAGAGCTGATCTATGACAGAAATGTTCCCCTCTGAACTTCACCGGACACAGACCCTCAGTTCATCCTGTCTGCCTGTTGAAGGATTATTTCTAACTGTACGTCTTCTGGCTTCTTCTGCGATAACATACAACCAGCCCAAAGCACTGGGGCTTCTGTCTTGGTGGAACAGGAATGGGACTATTCCACACTTTCTTCTGTTTCTAGTTATCATCTTAAATTCCCTGACTTTGGCAAAAACACTGGCTATTCATCTTTCAAGGCGAGTTAACAGGTAAGCAAAATGTTATCTAGCATTTTTATTTTGAGGACAGTTCAGAATATCGGGGCTAAAAATTATCTTTCATAAAAGAACACAAGCTGGTAAATATTACATATCAAAAGGAGAATGAAAATCATTTTATTTTCTTGACTGGACTGTGAGTGAAGATTGAGTAAATGTGAGTGGGGCTTGGAATGATGATGGAATACCCTGGTTCATTCCACGCTATTATTTCACATTTTCTCTGAGGGAGATGCTTATCAGATTAAAACTGGATTCAGTCATACAGGAGGGGCACCAGTGGTGCATCTGTCATGGAGTGGGGTGGAGATCTCAGCCATGTGAATAATGACTGTGCTTCATAGGCGTACTTCACAAGGCCTTGTGGTAGCAAAGATATTTGTAAACTTCCTGTCGGTGCAAATGAAGAGAAACAGCTGCAGCAGAGATGTGCAGATTAGTTTCTAATCACAAATGAAAGGAAGCCTGGTTCTGGATGGGTGTTCTCCAAACAACAGAGGTTTCTGAAGGACGTTTTAAAGGACACGATGTAATTTAATCATTCATAAAGGGCAACGGCAGTTTTAAATAATAAAAACAGTTTCAAGCATTTATGTTTTAAGTCTCGGCATCAGACATCTCGTAATCAGATAGCTCCATACAACAAGGAAGGTACAAGAAGTGCTGTCAGTTCTATAGTTAAGCAGACATTCACTTTACGGTGTATGGAAATACAAACACAGCATGCAGTCAACGCTTTGGGCTTGAGTTGCCATCTTTATTCCAATCAACGAGCAGCCGTGCTTCCTAGAATAAAGAAATAGCAACTCAGGCCTTGGGCTTTTATACTGGTATTTAGGTATAGTAACTCGCATTTAATAGCAGGTACAAACACAAATTTATCCTGTAAATGAAAAGTAAATGTTAGCTCGTATATATACAAACTTCAGATTTTTGTGATGTTTTAATTTCACTGCTGAAAAAGAAAGTAAAAGTTTGCTTTATGTGTTTTCGCTATGATTTTTTTTACAATATTTATATCCTTCTTGTCCTCAACAAATAATCGCAGAAACTTAGAAAAAAAATTATTTATCTATGCACATACACATATGAAGAAGGTACAGAGTGTGAGTATCGTGAAACAAGCTAATGAGATGTGCAGGGAGTTTTGACAGCTCCTGTTTCTGAAAGGGTCCATCCTTTTCCTCTATCCTCTCATCCTAGGTACAAGTCTAAGCTCCCTCTTCTTGTGCTGGTCCTGGCACTTGTCAGACCTTTCGATGAGTTAGTTAAGCTCAAAAGGTGGCAAACAAATTAAAGCAGCGGAGAAAAAACCTAAAAGTGAACTGTTTTTTACTGCCTGAAAACTGGGAGCAGGAGTAGGGTCACGCTGTTCAGCATCAGCGCAGTACTTTTAGACATGTCATGAAACCTCACACACTCGTTCTGGGTTGGGGACTGCAAGCTGTAGTAACACTGCGTAGAGGTTACATATGCATGACCTTTGAAGTCAATGGGAATACCTATGTCAGTGCTTGAGGAAGGACAGGCTTCCAGTGTTATGACAACACCTATAGTATATTAAAAACTTTTTTTTTCAAAAGCTTTTTTCAAGCTTTTGCTTTAAAGGACTAAATTGAGTTCCTGAAAAGGAGTTAAATATCTATACAACTTTCTTGATATGTTTATGTAATATAATAAATAATATTTATGCAAAATAATAAAAAAATCAAAGCAACATCTAAAAAGCAACGTAGCATCAGGCATGGCAGCTGTTCCAAAGTGTAACAATGCACCGCATCAGCTAAAGGAAATAATATTTTGCATTTATAGTGTGGTTCAGCCGATGTACTTGTGATGCCTAGGACAAAACAGACAACACTCAGTACACCAATTTGATGTCTACTGTAGGTTAAACTGAACGACTCTTGCCCACTATACTGACCATGTATAATGGGATCTAGAAGTTCAGAGTACCACAGAAATGCAGTGTACCTGTGTTTAGGTAACCCCACTTTCCTGAATCTTAGGGTGAATCCATTTAATGAACTTTATTCCAGTAGTGCTTCCGTTCCTCCTCTGACTAGTTCAGATGTAGATATTGTCATCAAAGACATCTATAATCAGTCAGATCCCACCACAGTGACCGACACTAACGCATGTCAAAAAAGTATTCACATATATTTTGTGGTTCATCTACAGATCTGGCATTTTACTTGGTAAAAATGCAGTGATATGCACACATATCACTTCATATATCACTACCTATATCTCCTGAATCCTTGATTTCCCATACTCTTCTTTACAAGTGTGCCCTAACTGCATCATACCATATTGTGGCCAACACAGGAGGAGTTAAAAAACTAGGTGAATGAAATCCACTGTACCTTCTTCACTGAAGCACCTCAGTAACTCTTAATTGCGTCCTGCAGACCCTATACTATTAATAATAGAGCAAGCCCTTAAAAATCACTTCATCCTACTTCATTGCTTCATCTAATGCTCCTGTTTTTCTAATATAGCCAAAGTAACATTTCTAATATGTTCTCATCTTACCCTAGCTCACTTTGCCCTGGAATAACCTGCCTGATAGAGACGAGATGAAGTGAAGAGGAAAAGAAACTCTTCCCCCTGCAGTGGCTGGTGCCACTTACCATTTTTTAGCAGTTAAGGATACAAACCTGCCTGGTGTGACTCAGGGCAATTAAGGTCTCTGCACACTCCCCAAAGTTCTTCACTACTGAGAATGAACTCTGAAAAGCGATGAAGATTCATGCAGCACATCTTTGTCTCAAAGCTGCTCCCAAACAGCTCGAAAAGTATTTCCATAAAGGAAGCGTTAGATGAACCTGCTTTTTTCTCATGAACTCCAGAGCTAATGAGAACAAGGCTCGCGACTCAGGCTTGTGAGCAACGAGTCTGAGAGTTGCGTGTGCAATACTGAGCATGGTCCTATTTATATTCTTAGATACAATCACAAACTGGAATTTTGTTTTACTTTGAAGATTGCAGGCATTAGCAAGTCATACTCACTTAAGACTTCCCATTAAAAACCTCTGTCTTCATCCCGAGCCTGAATTTTGTTTCAGTGGTTACAGACTGTGCCAGTCGGACAGCTGAGTCAATTTTCTGGCCCTTCTGAAATGTACACGCAACGTGTACACACACCCGTGCACACTGCTCGAATACCTACATTTCAAACTAAATGGGAGAAGGTGGGTGACTCGGCATAAGAAATTAGGGAGTCACGATGGGGGAACCCTAGAAAGAATGAAGAATCAAATGGACAAATTTTCAGAAGCTAGGAGTTAGCCAAATTATTATCCAATGGGGCTTAGATGATAGAAGAGAGCAAACTCTTCTATCCCTGAAAAGATTCAGGGAGCCCCTAAATTCATGGCAGAAAGCAAATGTCTGTCTTTGAAGTATGTCCACAGTCAACGTTGCTACAGAGGTGACAAACTCTCAGTCAATAAATAAAAACAGGTCACTGCAGTTATGGCTAGGTTCTAGTCTCCGTTCTACAGCTTATTCTGTAAGTTGTTCATGTAATTATGAGGATATTTCCCAATATATACAGAATTCCATATGGTGTATTATGAATTATGCCATGGGAACTGCTTTAGAGAATCATGTCAGTGTTTTGTTTTGTTTTATTTAGTTGGTAAAGTTCATGGCGCACAATTCTTTTTTAGAAGGAGATAGATGTATGTTCTCTGTTTTCAGTCTGACTCCCACAGCTTTCTCTTGACTTCCAAACCTCTGAAGTGATCTGATTGACACCAGCTGGTAAGGGTAAAGATTATTAATTGGAGGGTCAGCCAATGGAGGATGCGTGATGCTTTCATATGGTTTTGCTACCATGTCCAAAGAGAACATTGAAAATGCAGCTCCCATGCCACTTTCTAACAACCAAGGGCAGCAGGAGTCAGCTTCCTGAAAGCAAATCACTCACGCTGGGAACAGGCCTGAAAAGCCTGGTGCAGCTTCAAATGGGGATTGAAGAAGCTTGTGTATGGAAGTAATGTCCCACCAGCCTCAAAATCTAATTAGCAACTCAAAACCCAAGCCATTTCCTGAATACATATTGTAAACATCCAGAGCTCCTCAGAGAGAAGGAGTAAATGACATAACGAGGCACACGGTCTTCAGATTCACACTGTCTCATTTTGGAAAGCGGTACGGAAATGCCTTGTCCAAGGCACCAAGTATTCCCTACCCTCGTCCAGCCACCTCCCTCAGGAAAAGGAGGATGTACAAAAGTTCATAAAAATGAGAGATAGAAAACATTCATTAAGTGTGAAAGCCTAGACTTCTC